TCAAATCAAGATCTGTCCTTCTGTCAAGCGTTGCTCACCGCGCTTACTCCAAAGTTCACGAGAGGTCACCAATCCAAGTTGGACAGCCGCTCTAACGCCGCCGACACTGGAGACAAGGGTGTAGGGGCACCCGCGGGTAACAAGAATGCTGTTCAACCGAACACAGGGAACGCTGGTAGTGCTTCCACAACCACACAGGACCAGCACTCTGTCCAAGAGCCATCAACCCAAGGTCCATCAAACAAGAAGCTAGATACCTCAAGCCTCAAGTTGTTTGCCAAGGCATATCCATGTATGAGAAGGAGGCTCACCTACAGGCAATCAACATGCAACTTGGACCCTACTCAGAGCAAGACGACCCGAGGACATCCTTGCCCTGATGAGTCGTGTTCAAAGATATACATCTATGTCAACAGATTCAAGAAGCATCTAGTAGAGAGTCATTCATGGAGTTACGCCGATGCAGACACACTCATTGACACATGTGCCTACAAAGAACGATCACAGCTTGAAAAGGTGAAAGTTCAAGACCCTTCCCAGATAGACCATGAAGACCTTTGCACCGAGCTCCATGTCACCCAGAGCGATCAAGTGCAGCTTCAAGAATCGGCCACTGCACCATCTGACCCATCTATCGTTGATGGTGAGCTCAGTATCCTTCAACGATACCAGCTGTCCCAACCTGAAGGTGAATCACCTGAATCTCACATCGATGGTGATATCTTTGTAGATATTGACCTTGAGGGGACAAACATTGGCATTTGTGAGATTGCAGCTGTTTGTCTCCAATCCTCACGATCATTCTCAACTCTTATCCACCCTGGAAAGGGTAAGTCCAACCCCACACACTATCATCACTCAATTACTCCAATCAGTCACTCATTCATACTCATTCATTTCATATCATTCAATCACACAATGGACAACCTGTTAACATTCTTCTAATATTATAATAGGTGTCCTCCACAGATTCAATCACTGCGCTGTCCCTTCTAAAGAGGTTATTAATCTCAAGTACGATTGGCAAACAGTTGGTCCAGTTTTCTTCTGTTGGTTGGAAGCTCTGAGACGCCATCCTCATCAACGCATCTACTTGGTTGGTCACAATATCAAGGGTTATGACTCGCACATGCTGATCAAGGCCTCTGCACATTACAATGTTGCCATACCAATCAATATCAGAATGATTGAAACCCTCGATCATACCAACTGGTTGGCATTGCCCAATCGTCAGTTGAGCACCCTCAGCAAACACTACGATATTGTGAATCAACTTCCACACCGAGCCCTTTCCGATGTGATCACACTGATCAAAGTGATCGAGGAGATGTACCTGGACCCTCAGAATCCATTCTGGAAGGATCATCCCTTAGCCCCAGAGGACATCCCTGCAACGATGTTTTGGGATCACCTGTTATATATCAGATCCAAGATGGCAGCACCACAGCGGAATAGGACATTGAATGGAAAGGAGGAACAAAACGAGATGGACGACCTTCACAAAGATATTCCCGAGCAACAAGAGTCCGTTGTGCTTGGTGAAGAGCCACAACACAGCAAGAACAAGAAGAACAAGAAGAACGAGAAGAACGAGAAGAACGACAACAAACAGAACAAGAGAGGCAAGCCCAACAGGTGTGGAAATTGCCAACAAACAGGCCACAACAAGACAACATGCAAGAGCAAGCCTGTTGTTGATTCAAAGTCCGCCAAGACCGCCTCTGCCATTCCTCTGCCCACCCCACTGTCCATTGACTCTGACGACTTAATGATCACTGGCGACGCTGGTCCCAACCCTGACGCGAAGGCTTCACGAACACCTTCAACAATGCCTAGCCTATCATCCAAGTTCACTTCATGTGGCTTGGACGATCCCGATTATCGCCAACGTCTCGAAGCTGGTTGGCTCAAGTCATCCCATTTCTCCCATATCATCAGTTTGATTCTTTGCCAACAGTTCACGAAAGACGGTCTACAGAGTCAACCAAACCACCTATTCTTTGGTGAGCCAGACTGGACAGTAGAKCGTTTTGATATATCGTCACATCGTGGAAAGGTAATCATTGTTCCTCTCAACAATAATTATCACTGGCTCCTCTGCATGATCATARTTCCACCCAAGAGGATGGACGTGGAAGTACTCATTGTCGATAGCTTTGCGCATAAAAAGAATGGCCCCACTACAACAGCAAACATCGACSACACGTACCGCAACCTCATTATCAGCAATCTGACATTTGGCACTGATAACATCTCGCGTGCACACGGCAACACAATATACACTGGTCATCAACACTCAGAGG